GAAAACTGGACATTTCAAAGAACAATGTGGCAACTCTGGAAATCATACTTACCTTTTTATCTCCTTGCTAAGGGTTTGATGTACTTGCTGAGTTTTTGGCTTGTTTAGTGACTATTCTGAACTAATTAGGTAAAGTCTATATTCTTTATAGTGCATGGACACTGAAGTCTCTGCTAGGGTCGTTTAGTGGTCAGCTAATGATTGGACAGAAATTTCCCTAAACATTACCAAGGGAGTTTTCTTACTGTGCTACGTCTCCAAGTCTGTACTAAGGGCTCTGGGTGCCTGTTGGGGCACCCCTTCAACACTGAGCCAGGAAGGCGACAGGAAGGAAGCTGCCTTTGGCCTCACTTTCTGCTTGTGTGTCAAGGTCAACCTACGGTGACAGCTCAAGATATTCTTAAGTCTTTCCCGAGCAGGAGTATAACCCTTGGCATATGCAAAGCTCTATACATACACATGACCATCTAAATTCCTGAGAATACCAGAACTTTTTGAGGTCCTTATGGACATCTCATTCCCTAGCTTTTCCTTTTACGTTTTTGGTTAGCCTATTGTCTGCTCCAAGGGTTGGCCACCACTTGAGGCAACCACAAAATTAACCAATTGCCTCTGAGTCTTTCTTGATTAACATCCCTGGGAAAAAGGCTTTTCACACCTGGCAAGCTCCAATCTGGTAAAATAAAGACAGTCTTGCAAATGAGGTCTTCCAGGGACCTGCCTGACAGGTCAAATAATGACAATTCTCTGGGAATGAGGCTTTAAAGGAGTTCTAAGTCCATTCTGCCCCCTCTAGTGGCTTCCAGGCTGCTACTTTTCACCTTCATTGTATACTGTTGGTTTTCAAGGATACAACAGAGATGGAAGGGCGAAATACCTCGTTGTTCATACCGAGATTCAATCATTTCTCTTGAATAAATACTCCACCATTGACATTCTGAGCATTCACATGGTTCAAGCTCAATTATTCTATAAACTGCAGTAACTGAGAAAGGCAACCAAACTGGATGAAGTATGAGTTTTTAGCCACACTCCAAATGAATGTTGCCATAATTTTTCAGAGGCCTGGACAATCCTTTCATTATGTATCTATTTTAAAAATCTTGGATCATTAAGACTCAAAAATCACCATAAGAAACAAAACCTGATATTCTTTAACACAGGTAGCAACGATAATCCACACTTGTTGAGTGGAAAAAAACCCGGCTAACCCTTGAAAGTCTCTTAATTACATATAGAAATAATCTCCGAATGCTACGCCTTCTGCCCAGCCACCACACTGGCTGCTATACTTTCCGTCTCCAAAGTACAATGGGACCACACATACAGTCATGCTTCAAAGGCTGTGAAGCAAGCTCTTTTCCTGACCAAGAATATCAGTCACTTGGCTATGATCAATCCCTTTCCTAGAGACACCGGCATCACTTTCAGATCTATTAGCTGATGACACAGGAAGGTAGTTCCTCCCTGTAGGCACAGTGAGACTTGAACGATTTTTTTTTTTTTTTTTTGAGACGGAGTCTCACTCTGTTGCCCAGGCTGGATTGTAATGGTGTGATCTCAGCTCACTGCAACCTCTGCGTGACGGGTTCAAGCAATTCTCCTGCCTCAGCCTCCTGAGTAACTGGGACTACAGGTGTGCGCCACTATGCCTGGCTAATTTTTTGTATCTTTAGTAGAGACGGGGTTTCACCATGCTGGTCAGGCTGGTCTCAAACTCCTGACCTCAGGTGATCTGCTGTCCTCGGCCTCCCAAAGTGCTGGGATTACAGGCGTGAGCCACCGCTGAGACTTGATTTTTAGACAGACATAGAGCTATTTCAAAATAAAAACTTTATAAAAACCCCCTTTGTTTGAAGCACAGACAAGATATTCACTGAGTTTCTGGGAAAATGTATGAGAACTTCAAGAGGAGCAAGCAGGAGTGAATGAAAACCACAAAAATGAAGGCATAATAAAATGAGCAGGGTAATGTAAGGATCCATTTAAAGAGTCTTGAAGAGAGTGTGTTTATGAGTCTGTGAAATGAATTTACATCTCAATTTTTAATTGTATCAGGTTGCATTAGTGTTGGTCCAGTTAGAAATCCATGTTCATAAATCATCATAATACAAATGTTTTGATTTATGCTGAGGCAATGTATTAAGTACTTTATAGCAAAGATTAGAATTTCTGATTTTTCATTCAGGAAAGAGAAACAACTTTACTACTAATAATTTTAAAAACTGGCTTTGAAAGTCCCCAGAGACTACAAAATAGTTATGTATTTTAGAGAAAATTATACACAGAGCCTCACAAGCCAACTGGTATTGAAACCTTTTTTTTTCCTAGACTGTAAAGATTTTAATTTGTAATGCTCAATGTAAAACAGGAGTGAGATGTACATTACACTAGTCAGACAAGCTGGAGTGTGAAAGGTCTTAGTGAAGCACAGTGACCAAAAGATGTTTAATGTACACCTCACTTTTCCATAAGAGAAGGGCCAGGTAACAAAGAAGTACATCACTCTTATCCATTAGCCGGAGTGGATCCTCCGCCCAGGCCAGGGCTCTTTTGAATAGGGATCATTTAATTATTATGTATTTTAAGAGTGTGCTCAAAACATGTATTAACTGAAGATGCAGCATTTCATCCATACAATGTTATGTAATTAAGGTTTCTGGTATGATAACAATTGGACATACTGATGAACACTGATAGGGTAATCCACTAAAATGGGCCCCCTTTGCACTACATCATATGAAGGCCTATGCTCATGAGGCTATCCTGGACTTTAAAATTTACCACTAACGACACGAGAGCTCACTGAAGTAAACTTACCTGAACAGAGATACTTTCCAAGTAGCTCACTTTTTTTGCATTACTATTATTGTGTGAAATACTTTTCTACCTAGCGTAACTGTTGCTCAAGAAAACAACATATATAGTAACTTCAGACTTGCTTTTCTGCAAAGTTTTGGACACAATTCAAATATACAGCATGTAGGCAAATTTTCCCCAGTTGATAACACTCCTTTATAATATCAAAAGATTAAGAATGACATCGATGAATCCAGCATAAAATTTCCACAATGAACAGCACCGGGGAAACCATTTAAGTTCAACTTCTCATCAATTAAGTTCAGGTGCTATACCCAAGGATTAAGGTTGAGACTGCCCAAAGGTTGTCTGCCCAGCCCACTGCTGTTGTTTAACACACCGTAGTTAGGTAGAGAAAGAATGCTTGGATTATAAGCATCTTTGTAAAATTTCAAACAAGGTAAAACTAATGTATTACCTTATCACAATGAGAGTCCTGAATACCAAGTTAGCACATTTCATAGCTCCATTCCATGACATATGATTGTAGAGGATGAAATAGAAAAATGTAGCAAGACATTTACTGTCACTTAAATGATAGGTAGCAGTCACTTAGGCCTGAAGCACAATTGTGAAGTTTCATGCCACATTTTCACCGGCTAACTTATATGCATGTAGAGGTTATGTTAAAACTTCAGTTATTCCAAAGGATGAAAGTGTTACATTTTGATACAGATCTTCAGTTCCTATTTTACTATAAGCCTTTGAAATGTTAAGGCTGAATAGACCAAGTTATGAAAAGGGACAAGAGGAAGTAAGAACAGTGCAGATACAGTGGGAACACATGGTAACTTTCTGCCTTCTCCATTCTACGTGGATGATGTGCTTTCCGGGCAGCAGGTGGTGTGACTGTAAAAAGATCACACATTTGTCAGTAACTATGTAGGATTTTTGGCACTGTTAGAGCGTAGCATTATAAAGTCAGGGCGGCTAATAAAAATTCCATCAACCAAATTTTTGATAAGTCTGAAATTTAAAAAATATAATTTTTCTACCAAGAAAATCCTTAGTTCTCCATTCAGCCCTGCCTTTTAGAAAACTTACATCATTAAAAAACATTTTAAAAAAAGAATCACTTCACAGCAACCAGATGAACATCTGGCAGCAAAGCAACATTAAAATGCCATCCTTTGAAAGGAAGAGCAAATACGTGACTCCTTCATGAAGAGCAGTTCTTTCTGGCAGGGTGGAGGCTCACAGACTTTCTGTTTATGGACTTTTGCAGAAGTCCAAGGCTGAATCTGGACCTGCTTTTCCTGTATTTTCTCAGTTGCATCTGGACAGTATGCTAAGTATACAAGAAACGAGGGTCAAAATGAAGACAATGTCATGCATCAGGTGACCAAGTAAATGTGCACAGCTTGTACTTAGAATCGTCCTGTTAAAAACTAGTAGTGGAAGTAGCTGAAGCCTGTCTTTCACGTGTGACAAAAATATTTCAAAGTCAGTATAAACTTAATCATAAACCCACCAAAAAAGAACACTGAGGTCTTATTTCAATGTGTGTTTTCTCCCCCCTTTCTCATGGTATGGAAACTGTTTCTATTGAGAAAGAAAAAAAAAATCAGATCCTGTAAAGCTTCAAATATTCCTCAAATTCTTCTCATATAAAAAAAACTTATCAGAAAAATAAAAAATTTCAAAATCATTTTTCTGCAAACATTTTTAAAAAATAAGAAGTGTATTTTATTACAATCTACATTTTTGTTTTTAAAATCCCTCACAAAAGTCTGTTGCTACATTGTAAAACTTATAAACAAGGCTGGAACTTCCAGAGGGTGTGTGCTCTGGGATCCTCACTGAGCCTCCATGGGAGCCTCACTTTGCCGCCAACTCAGGCACCCCACCCTGCTACTCAAGACCATTGAGGCCATGGGGTTTTCTGAAACTCCTCAAAAACTAACAAGTTTCCATTGGAGACACTGTGGAGAATATGCTCTTAGGGAAATAACTCTCTGGGGAAAACAAGGGAGAGGAGAGGAAGCATCATTGAAGGTATGCGTGTTCAAAAGGGAATCTGGCTAGATTATCAAATCACTGTTCTCCAGGCACCTGAAACTTGCTTTAAATTAGATTTGGGGAGGCCCATCAATCTAAATGGTTTGTGTAAAAGACACACTCACATAAAAAGGAAAAACACAGAAGACAAACGGGTCCTTAATTTGGGGGATATATTCCAACTTGGGGGAAGGGTGAAGGCATTTTAGCTCTGAAGCTCAATCACGACATTTCCAGAGAGTTCTGCAGTGCCCCCGCATTGGACAGGACAGAATGGAAGAGTGTGCTGGACTGGCTGGATTCCCCAGTGTCAAGCTGGCAGCGCTCCTGAGGCTCTTGAGTGTTTATCAACTCAGCAGGTCAAAAGTCTGCAGACACTGGGTGGAGCAGCAGTAAGCCACAAAACTAACAGTTGTCCTCCTGGAACGGGAAAAGGAGAGAAGAACACTGTAAGTTCAAGATTAAAGTCTCTGATTCTTTCTGTTGAAAACTGTCTCTTTTTTTTTTTCTTTGTTAAAATGGAGGATTAGCCATGGTCGACAAACTGCATAATAGAAATTTAAATTTCCTTTTAAAACTGAGCACTGGAATCAGGTGAAGTATATACATGTGAATGTTCATTTTAATAGCAGTGTTCAGAGGATATACTATCCCTAAAGCAGAAACTAAGAAAAAAAAAATCTTTTCCACTTTACGTTTTGAATTCTGCTTACTAGAACCAACAGTGCAATCATAGAATTTGAAGTCCATTATAAAAATCATGTAACAGAAAATGTCACCAATTTAGCCAGAACACATATATACCAGAACTTAAACAACATAATTTTAAGGAATTTATCCTACAAATATATGTATACACATAGATTGCTCATAGAGGTCATTTCAGAATCTGAATAATACAGTTCAAAGGTCTTCCCACATATCAGAGGTTTGGGCACCTTTGTGCAGTGAGTCACAAACTCCAGGGGACCTCCGACTCACTCTGGAGAGTTTCAGCTGCTAGATGCCTTGTTTTCCTGCCAGAAGTGCTATCCTCTGGTAGGGGGAGAACAGTCTCTTGTTGTTTCCACAAGACCCCCTGTGCTAATTGTCTTCTATTTCCTCACCCCCAACACAGTCCGCCTTTCTCTGTGGCCCAGGAAGGGGACCTCTGTAGACTTTACCAGCAAAGCTGCCTCAACTCCAGCTTCTGGTTAGGCCAGTGGGAGGCACCAGCAGGAGGCACCAGCAGGGGGCTGAAGGACAGGAAGAGGGAAAGTTGAGTATTTCCACCCCCCTTCCTCTCTACCTCTGGGACTGGAGATTCTATCAGGCAGGCCCCCTTTGCCACCTCTGGTTCTTGCCAGGCTCCAGAGCTCCCTTTGCCCTTCAGGCCCAAGGATTAAGCATGGTAAGGGCTTCCTATGCTGTGAGTCCCTGTGTGCCTCATTATCCTTCTGGATGCTCTGCACCCTGCCCAAACTTCAGCCAATTGCCCTTCTTCATTGATTTCTCTTCAAAGTCTCAGCCAAATGTGCATTTTGTTTTTCAGCCCTGATGAATACAGTATGTGTTATGAGAAGTGGCCCAACAAAGCAGCTCATCCAAGTGACATTCTGAGGTTGGGCTGGTGAGTACATGAATGGCTTTCTTACTAGGGAGAAGTGGGACCCTGCTAATCTGTAGCATGTGGTGGCATCGCAGTTACTCAAATATCACTGGAACAGAAGGTAACAGGAGGGCAAGGCATTGGGACAGCAAGTGGCTGTGGCACTTGATTGCTATGGCATCATGGTGATTCCAAGTTTGTGGGGTGAGATGACTTCTTTTGACTGTGCTGAAGAGATTCCGAAAAGAAAATGATAAGCTTAGTCCTTGAGAGCTCAACTCAAAGCATGGGTAGAGAATCAGAAAGTTTTTATTGTGGCCTTAAATGAATCCTTATTTTATGAATCTGCAAGGGACATGGCTGAAGCTAAATGTAGAGGTTTCAGGATCACATGCCAGATAAAGATATATTTATGCTAAGTCTCTTATGCTAAGGTAAAAGATGCTGTTGGGAAAGAGTGGGAACTTGGGACTTAATATGGGAGCCTCTAGACAGGCACAAATCTAAGAGCCTTGACTCTCTAGCACCTCTAAACATTTCTTCATATCAGAAACAGATCTTTCCACCTTCTACGAAAACTAGCATTCCCTTGGGTACAAATGTTTCAATGGCTTCCTCTGTGGTGGTTATCTAAAAACTTTTCAGGACCCACCACCATCAATACTCATCGCCTCTAGGGCCAAAAAGGGTAAAATCCTAGCATGATCCAGAGATCACTGCAAGGCCTACTCCTGGAGGAAATCATGTACATGCTGACGGAGTTGCAGGATCTTGTCAAACTATATTAGCAGGAACCTGGAGGGCACACATGGAAATGGATTCTAAGTACATTAGCCAGCAAGAATGAATGTAAGATTGGATCAGGCCAACAGGGGTACTTCACCTATACCTCAGAATATGATACATTAAGCACCTGGGAGTGGTTAACAGAAGGCTTGACTCATTGGAGGCCAACAGCCGATGAGACAGGTGTGCTAGACTCCCCTTGCAGATTCTAGAGGGAGGATAAATGGAAATGCAGAGAGGACCCAAGGTGGCGGACCCTGCTCAGCCACCTCCTGAAAATCTCCAGGAGGGCCAAGAAGTCTTTTCTTCCCTAAGGCTAAATATATTTGCAAGGGGGAATACAAACTGGAAGTAGCAAGCACCCTTGATGCCTCAATAGGTACATGATTATCAGAGGTGAGAGAGAAATCCTGCAAGAGTTCACATGCCTGCTACATCAGTGCAGTTTCAAATGAAAAAGAAGAGTTATATCCAGAACTGCCCACTACAGAGAAACAGACACACACTTGGTGGATCCCTCTGGATTTTGGGAGAAAATATATTTCAGTGGGAACTTCTGGTTCCACCAAGATGGGGTAGGCCCCATTCTTCCCAGGTCTTCTCCACTACACCTGAAACACTCTGAACAAAATACAACAAATAAGCACAGGCAAGCTCTGAAAGGGAGAATGAAGGCAGACAGCCCAGGGACAGAGGGACTTGAGGAACAACGCAGTGCTGGCGAGTTCCCTGGGTACCTTATTGCTCTCTATATCTTAAACAGAATGCTGTAGAAACCTCCAATCCAGAACCAGTAACATGCCCAGATGAAACTGGATCCAAGTAAAGTAAGCCAAAGGCCAGGGATAGGAAAATCTACAGAGACAGAAAGTAGATAAGCAGTTGCCTAGAGCTAGATATGATGGGGATAGAGGGACAGGGGCAAGAGCTAAATGTTCAGGGTTTCCCTTAGGGTGAGAAAATGTTCTGAAATGGATTAGGGTGAGGGTTGCACATATCACTGAAGGTACTAAGAAACACTGAATTGTATACTTTAGATGGATGAAACTATATGATATGTGAATTATCTCAATAAAGCTGTTAAGAAATAATAGAGATGAAAGGAGAAATAGATAAATCCATAAATAGAGTCGGGGACTTCAATACTTTACTCTCAGCGACTGATAGAATTACTAGATAGAAAATTAGTACAAGTACAGAAAAACTGAACAACACAATAAAAAAAAAATCTGACATATACAGAATACTATCCAACAGTGGCAGAATATACGTTGTTTTTCTCAAATGCCCATGGACCATATACCAAGTCACAGCTGAAATCTGCCTACCTGGACAGAGCTGCTAGAGCTATAAACTGGTAGGAACACTTAAATGAGAATGTTTACAAAATGTGGGCAAAAAACCATATCTTAAAAAATTTAAAAGATATCATACAAATTATGTTCTCAAACTACAAGGGAATTAAACTAGAAATAATAAAAGATAACTGGAAAATTCCTAGATATTTGGAAATTAAACAACTTAATTCTAAATATTTAGGTGAAAAAAGAAATCTGAAGAGAAATAAAACAAATTTTCAACTAAATGAAAATGAAATACAAGTCATCAAAAAGTAACAGGATGCAGCCAAAGCAGTACTTAAAGGGAAACTTAGAGTACTAAACACACATGTTAGAAAAGAAAGGTCTAAAATTAATAACTCATATTTCTACCAGAAAACTACAGAATGAAGAACAATTTAAGTTTAAAGCGAGGGGAAAAATCATAGAGTATGTTCTTTGACTATAATAGAATCAAACTAGAAACCAATAACGAAAAGACAAGAGGAAAATCTTCAAACATATAGAAATTAAACACCACAGTTCTTTGACCCATGGATCAAATGACCACACTTTCGCAGGTCAAAAGGAAATATCAAAGGAACTTAAAACATACACAAACTGAACAAAGATGAAAATACGATTCAAAAATCAAAGATTTTGGTACATAGCTAGAAGACAGCAGTGCTGAGGGAAATTTATATCACTAAATGCTTACATTACAAAGAAGCTTAGATTATTGATTTGAGACTTTTCCTCTTTTCTAATGTAAGTACTTAGTGCTATAAATGTCCTCTTTTAGCTTTTAAAAACCTAAAAAAAGAAAATAAGCCCAAAGCAAGCAGAATAATACCAAATAATGAGGAGAAACCAATGAAATCAACCACTAGGATTATGAATAACAATAAAACTGATAAATCTTGAGCAAGACTGACAAAGATAAAAAGAGAGAACACACGAATTAATATTAGAAATGAAGCAGATGATATCACCACAGATCCTACAGCCATTAAAAAGATGTATAGGAATACCAGGGACAACTGTATACTAATAAATCTGACAACTTACAAGAAACAGTCTAGTGTCTAGAAAACTACAAACTACCAAAACTCAACTGTGATGAAATAGACAACCTAAATAGTCCTACAACCATTAAATAAATTGAATTTATAATTTAAAAAAGAAAACAAATTTCCCTGCCCAGATGGTTTCACTGAAGAATTCTAACAAAGAGTAAAAAAATAAATTTTTGAAAAGTTTTACACAATTTCTTCAGGAAAAAACAGAAGAAGAGGAACACTTCCTAACTCATTTAATGAGGCCAGTATTATCCTGACTCTAGAACCAGACAAGGATAATACAAAAACAGAAAATTACAGACCAACATCTTTCATGAACAAAGATTTTAAAATCTTCAACAAAGTATTAACAAATTAAAGAAATGTACAAAAAGAATTAGACATCATGATCAAGTGGGAGTTATTCCAGGCATGTGAGGCTAGTTCAATATTTGATAGTCAGTATCACCCGCCACATCAACAGGCAAAAGAAAAACCATATGATTATATCAATGGACTCAGAAGAAGCATTTAACAAAATAGAACACTTTTTCATGATTAAAACTCTCAGCAAACTACATAGAGAGGAAATCTTCCTTAATTTAATAAAGAGAACATACCAAAAACCCATACTTATCAGTAGGGTTAACACATTATACTTAAGAGATT